TAATCCCAGAAGCAGCCTCTACCGCGTTCCCTGCCCTTGCGGAGTTTTCTGGGGAGGGCAATAATTGTTTCTTTTTCGTCTGCTTCCCGCCGTCTTTTTTTCTCTTCTCTGACCTGTTGACCAGGCTATTCTCGCGACCGTTAGCCATCAGCCACCAGGTCAAGGGTTCGTGCTGTCGCTGTCTCATTTGGTCCCTTCTCTAAACGGCTGGGCTAGCTCCCTTGGGATCTCTTGGGGCAGTCTAACTTTGTGGCATTCCCTCCTCATCCGCCGTGCGTGGCCGTTATAACCTCCTCTGCGCAACTTTCTTGCCGCCGTCGAATGTACGTGCTGGTGTGACGAATACTCTTCAATTCAAGAGACGAGGGGGGGAAAGGTCCCGGATTCGTCGCCGTATAACGTCTGGACTGTACTCTGCACCCCGGCCGGCGGACCTGTTGGTTTGAACTTCATTGCCAACTGCGTGCCCAAGTGTTGAAGTTCCTGCCCCCACCACCAACAGCTCGCAGGCAGCTCCCCTATCTCCCTACAAGCTCCCGATCGTTTTCTTTCCGCGATTGTCGCTCAAAATCAAAGTCTCTATTCCCTCCCGGTGTCGTGCAATTTCCCAATTTGCATTCACCCATTCTCATTTATCATGTGTTTTGGGGGGCGGGATAAGAACAATGGCGAGGCGGCTCGCTCACGCGAACTCGACCGCATGATCCGCCAAGACGAGAAGCGCATGCAGAAAGAAGTCAAGCTGCTACTTCTAGGTAAGCACCGATGGTCTCTGGCATCCAATCCCATACTTGGTCGTGCAACAAACCTTGCCGTGTCGCCGAGACTCTTGTGCTAATAGTGTGGAATTTGTAGGCGCCGGAGAGTCTGGGAAATCCACCATCTTGAAGCAGATGAAGCTCATATACTCGCAAGGTTTCAACAAGAATGAACGCTTGGAGTGGAAACCCGTCGTCTTCAGCAACATCATTCAGTCTTTCCGGACAATATTTGAAGCCATGACCGAGTTGAATTATCACTTTGACAACCCGGACAATGAGGTATGCGATTGTTTATCAGATCCTGCTCCGCGCGACTGTCATCGGCGATCCGGCCAAAAAGAGAAGGGGTAGTTGGATGTGTCAAGTCTCTTGCGCTGGCAGCTAACATGGGTTTGACAGAAACACATGGCTCATATTCTTGTAGAACATGAAATCAGTCCAGAGGACAAGCTTCCACAAGATTATTTGGGACCCATCAAGGCCCTATGGAAGGACAGTGGAGTCAAAAAGGCGATTGCCAAAGGCAACGAATATGCGCTGCACGACAACTTAGCCTAGTACGTTGCTATTGACTCGACTGACGACCATAACGAAGTGGCATCGCTGACATGATGAACCAGTTTTATCGATGATATGGATCGAATATGGGGCGACGGATACGTACCAAACGACCAGGATCTTCTTCGCTCACGACTCAGAACCACGGGCATTACTGAAAGTGTCTTTGATCTGGGCCAATTAACGTACCGAATGTTTGACGTCGGTGGTCAGCGATCAGAGCGGAAGAAATGGATTCATTGCTTCGAGAATGTCCATTGCCTGCTTTTCTTGGTCGCCATTAGTGGCTACGACCAGTGTCTAGTAGAAGACAAGGACGGTGTACGGCAGATTCTTTCATCCTCTCCCGCTCCTTCTGAAACTGCAGGATTGTTTCACTACAGGTTGTTGTATACTAACCAGACTCACAGAATCAAATGAACGAAGCATTGATGCTATGGGAATCTATTGCCAACTCCCACTGGTTCACCAAGTCAGCCATGATACTCTTCCTGAACAAGATGGATTTGTTCAGAGAAAAGTTACCAAAGAGCCCCATTAGCAAGCATGGATTTACCGACTACCACGGCCCTGAAGATGACTACAAGGCCGCGAGCAAATACTTTTTGGATAAGTTCCGAGCTCTCAGTCGAAACCCTGAGAAGGAAATTTACGGCCATTTCACCAATGCCACCGACACCAATTTGCTCAAGATTACCATGGGCTCCGTGCAAGACATGATTATTCAACGTAATCTGAAGCAATTGATATTGTGACAATGACGGCGCCAACCCTTTATCCCAACGATCATTTACATGACTTCATTTTCTTACCAATTTAGGTCCAAATCCAGACTCGTCCGACCACTTGCTCTTTTTATTAGAAAAAAAAGAGGTTCACTTTTCCCGAACGAACGTCCTTGAGGTTGGCAAATCTCTAGAAAATTCGACCCTTCCTAACTAGTTGGGCGACGGCATAATAGTTACTTTGAAACGATCAACAAACAATGACGGTGGCAAAATTCATTTTCTCCGTCTCTACTTTTCCCCAAGTTTGTATGAATATATGGATCACGGCCGGTACTATTGGACACTTATTTCTTTTGATAATTTGCATTATTGGGGGTCGCGGGCCGAGCAGCAAGACAGTGAGGAATCGTCTCGAATAACCAAGCAAACAGACTTGTCGGTCTGTCGATTCTGGCAGCTTCGGAACGGTCACAACGAGTACGATCAATAACCAGGGCAACCAGGGCACCACCGGGACACGGGTAACATTGTACTTGTCTGCCTGTTCTAGCCATTTGACGAAGCACAGGGGCAGTATTGCGCACCGGCAGAGTGCGCTGTCACAACCCGCGGAAAAGGACATGGTAGGCGAAACAAGGGTTCCGCGCCAAAAACGAGCGGAGGCCTGACTCATTGATACCCAGATGCCTGTTGTTTTGTTATGCTCGGGTGTTTGTTGGTGGCCAGGAAATTTCAGCGGGTCATGGGAGGGTATACCATAACAGTCAACGGGGGGATGTGATACGATTGTGGTAAAGGATTGGACGGGAATGTAATGAGATTGACAGTCACGGACTCGACTTCCCATGTCCAAGAAAAAAAAGAGAAAAGATAAGAAAAAAAGAAAAAAGGTAGCAGCAGTGAAGACCACTTGTTGATCTGTGCGTCGGTTCAGCTCCATGATTCTCATCTTGTACCAGATTCCCCTAGTCCCAACCGTTTCTCGCATATCGTCCGCATAATCCTCGGGGTAGTTTTTCAATCAAACATGACCCCGAATGCCCTGTCTGTCGTAAAAGACTGCCACTTTAGGATTGGAGAGTAGTGTTCGCTCCCGACGTACGTTCGGCTGTTGAACTAGCTTCCGAACAGGGCGGACTGCCCGTGAACTCGACGGCGAATTGGGATGGAAAAGACGGGCTTGGCTACATTTCCCTTGCGGTATTTGTCTTGTGCAGGCATCCGTTGATCCAGCTGCCGCTGTGGCCACTTTCTCCAAGGACAAGTTGTGTTCCGACAGAGTACGAGTTGTAACCATCGAGTTTAAAGACGGCCGCCCACTTTCCCCCTCCCAACCTGTTGGTGTCGAGCCACCCAGTACCAGAGTGAATACAACAGAATAAAAGGGTTTACAAGCATACTAGCGGTCTGCGTCACCAATTCCGTTTAGAATCTAACCTACAGCGTCTCAATGTTCTACCGCGTCATGCAGCCAAGTTCGGTTGGCGTAAGGAGTATTCACTCGGATTGGCTTCGCTCGGCGGGGAACTCTCCAGGCCCAGGACACTATTCAGTTGTCTGTCGTCGATCGCTGCCACGAGGAAGGCCCATTGGGCAATCGTGGGCAAGATTAGGGAAGGCGCTGTGTAGCCACCTAGGTAGGCAGGCGCTCTCCTGGGAAGGGTCGTGCTTCCTCCGAATACGATGTTTAGAGGAGATCGTAGATTGCCCTTCCTTCCCTTGCTTGGTTGCTCCGTGTTGCATCTTTTTGCTTCTAATTTACTACGACCGGGTTCTGGCATTTCTTAACCAGGGTCAAATACTCTCAGACAAGGCATTGTTTTACCTGTTCATCACTCGTCAACAGTCCTTGCAGAGCTCATCAATATTCTCGGGCCTAGCGCTAAGCTAGGCTTCACAACCCACATCGAAAAACGCCCGATCCGATCCCCCGCTCCAGCCAAGTGGAGTTTGCGTGGGATCGTGCAGCTACCCTGCGTTTCCCCGCGCTATCATCTGGTGACACGCTGTCGAGTCTTCTGGTTTAGGACAGCGCTCGCCGCCTTGACGCCGGGTTTGGTTGCCTACCACGTCACATCGTTGACGTAAAAGCTGTTGACATGACCGGGCCGACAAGACATGCATTTTGCTTTCCGACTCAACAACTGGTTCATTGTTTTCGTCTCCACTGCTTGGATGATAACAGGCGAGTGTTACTGTTCTGGCTGCCTATACTCTTGAGGTGAGAAGGGTTGGTTGATTGGGTGCCGGGTGTGGTGTCTTAGGCTAGTGTTTGATGGACAAGCTTATAAAGAGCTTTGTCTTGTCCCATGCGTCTGTTTATTTTCCGTCAGGTAATTTGGACTTGCCAAACGACATTTCCCCTCGTCCTTCCGAGGATTGCATTTCTCGCTTTGGTTTGGTCTACTGTACTGGGTTGGAGCATACATATATATCTGGCTGGAGGGGCGGCTCATTGTTCGCTCTCATTCTATTGAGCACCATGGTCACAACACAGCGAGTTGTACTTTCGGGCCTTGCTGGACTGGCAGCATGGCAGAGCGGCTCGCCAAGTGCTGTGGCAGCTTCTGCGATTACTGGAAACGACGTAATTACAAACGATACCTATTTCTACGGCCAATCGCCGCCTATATATCCCTCCCGTGAGTTCTTCTTGGGAAAGGGCTCGGAGTCTTGTAACATTGGAAGAATTCGTGAACCAGGCTAATGGATGTAATATGGAATAGCGGAAATGACTGGCGGCTCGCAATGGGCAGCCGCTTATCAAAAGGCCAAGGCACTGGTTTCTCAAATGACTTTGGAAGAAAAGGTGTAAATCACTCTTGTCCCTTGGTGACGAAATACAGCGTTGCTGATTAAGTTGTTACATCAGGTAAATGTTACTGGAGGCGTCGATTTACGAACGGGCTGTTCCGGCAGCATCTATCCCAACAAACGGCTAAACTTTCCCGGAATGTGTGTCAGCGACGCTGGCAACGGTCTTCGAAATACCGATTTTGTCAATGCTTATCCTGCCGGTATTCATGTTGGAACGAGGTGCGCACCCCAGATGCCTTCATTTTGGAAAGAGGACCCCCGCAAGCTTTAAACTATGCTGACAGCTATTCTTGTAGTTGGAATAAAGACCTCGCACGAAGACGGGGTGCTGCCATGGGCGGTGAGTTCAGAAGGAAAGGCGTCAACGTTCTTCTAGGTCCGGTGGTTGGGCCAGCTTGGAGAATTGTTCGAGGCGGGAGGAACTGGGAAGGATTCTCAGTTGAACCGTATCTGTCTGGCTCTTTGGTGGCCCAGACTATCCAAGGCGTTCAGAGCCAAGGCGTTCAGACTAGTCTCAAAGTACAGAATGAAGACTTTGAAAATCAAAAGGGTTTTGTTACTGATCAAATCGCTAGCATTACATTGCCAACGAACAAGAGCTGAACAGAAATCCCAGCGGGGCAGTTGAAGCTGTATCATCCAATGTCGATGACAAAACCATGCATGAAGTCTACCTCTGGTATGTATTCATTGGTATAGTCCAAACCCATGAAACTGGTATCATGTCACTCAATCCTTAGACAAGGCCATTCCAAGACGGCGTAAGAGCTGGCGCAGGCAACGTTATGTGCTCATACCAGCGAATCAACAACTCATATGGCTGCGCCAACAGCAAAACCCTCAATGGTCTTCTCAAGACAGAGCTCGGTTTCCAGGTGAGTAGACTCGGATCAATATATGTGTTTACGACATGACACTGAGAATTATACAGGGTTTCGTCATGTCAGATTGGGGTGCTCAACACGCTGGGGTTGCTACGGCTCTGGCAGGAATGGACATGGCTATGCCAAGCGGAGACGGCTTTTGGGGAGATCATCTTGTGAAAGCTGTCAAGAACGGCTCTGTCCCAGAGTCTCGAGTCACCGACATGGCAACGAGGTACCTTCCTGTTTATCCAAGGCCTTGGTTGATTAACAACTTACCGATTGCATAATTAGGATCTTAACCACGTGGTACCAGTTTGGTCAGGACGCCATATTCGACAAGCCAGGCATTGGTATGCCTCTGGATGTTCGACAGCCACACGAGGCTATCGAAGGCCGCGACCACAAAGATGGGCCTGTGCTTCTAGATGGAGCCATTGAGGGACATGTCCTCGTCAAGAATACCAAGAATACGCTTCCCTTGAGGTCCCCTCGAATGCTCTCGCTATTTGGATATTCAGCAAGATCTGCTGATTCTCTCTCTCCCGGTCCTGGTGACCTTCTGATCAATTTGTGGCGATTTGGATTGACATCCGTCAGTCTTAGCGACGTCCTGTCAAGTCTGCTCGGCGGGCAGCAAACCAGATATCCCAATATTGCTGTCAACGGCACTATTATGGGCGGAGGAGGATCCGGTGCGGGAACTCCTGCTGTTTTTGTTGCACCATATGACGCCCTTTCGACGAGAGCGGCTCAAGACGACACCGCTATATTCCACGACTTTGGAATGCCAGAGCCTGCGGTCGTTCCCAGCACAGACACATGCATCGTATTTGGAAATGCATGGGCGTCGGAGGGGTACGATCGTCCCGGTCTTTACGACAATTTTACTGACTCAATCGTCAAAACAGTCGCTGATCAATGCAATAAGACCGTTGTGGTGCTTCACAATGCCGGGCCAAGGATCGTCGAGAGCTTTGTCAACCATCCCAACGTAACAGCAATCATGTTTGCTCATTTACCGGGCCGAGACAGTGGAACCAGCCTCGTCAAGTTACTCTACGGAGAAGCCGGGTTTTCAGGCAAGCTCAGTTATACCGTGGCCAAAAAGGAATCAGATTATGGTCATTTGCTCAGCCCCGACGAACCCGCCGGCAAGTTCCAGAAGTTCCCACAGTCCAACTTCACAGAGGGCGTGTATCTTGACTACAAGTACTTTGAAATGCATAATATCACTCCTCGATACGAGTTTGGTTTTGGTCTGAGCTACACGACCTTCGGCCTCGCGAATCTTGTCGTACAACACGTCAATGGCGGTAACTCGGGTGAATGGGCAGAGGGTGCGGTTATTCCCGGCGGCCGGGCAGATCTGTTTGATAACATCGCTACGGTGACGGTCGACGTGACCAACACAGGAAACATGCCTGGCGCAGAGGTGCCGCAGTTGTACGTTGGAATCCCGGGTGGGCCAGCCAAGCAACTCCGGGGATTTGAAAAACGGTTCTTGGCACCCGGTACAACAGTTCCGGTCGAGTTTCCGTTGACAAGACGCGATTTGAGTGTGTGGAACACGACAGCTCAGAAATGGTGGTTGCAGAGGGGGGAGTATAATATATATGTGGGAACGAGCAGTCGAGATGTTCCTTTGAGGGGCATTCTGACTATTGATTAGGTGTCGAGTACATACACATGGTAGCATGGCATTGACCGGATTTTTCCTTTCTTCCTCTTCACATTTGGCTTGAGAGGCGGAGCTTCCCAAACGCACGGGAAAAGAAAAAGGCCACTCTGGTGGCCTGTGCCAGGATGTCGACGAGTTCGATTCGTCTATGCAACACCAGCACATGAGAAGCCACGATACATCTGTCATGGCACTTATGCGCCAATTTGTCCTTGGTGTTGCATGCTAGCTAGCATTGGCAAGTGCATCACGGTCGCATGAATTTTGCCAGCTCATCAGCACATCCATCCTTCTTCACACGCCCAAGTGACAGGTCACTTGAATCAAACCATGCGTTGGTTCGCGTACGGGATGCATCCCGCAGGCCGACCGATTCCAGAACCGCTTGGCAAAAGCCAAATCTCGGCTGTCCAATTTATCTTCCCTTCTTGAACGGCAGGCGGGTGTGCTGCGGAACGGTACATGCCGCGTGTAATGAAGGGTTGATCTTCGGTACCCACGAGGAAACCATGTGACTTTGGTTTTTTTTTCCCTTGTGCATCCCGGCATGTTTTGTTTCAAGCATGAAGATGGCATGAATAAGAGATTCATGCGCACGATGTACATACGAGCAAAGAGTGGTACGCTAGCCATAAGGCTACTACCCAAGGCCACCCCTATATAAAACTAAGAGTCAAGCAAAAAGAACATGCAATATGAGCAGGGGCCGCCAAGGGGAGGGGAGGGGGTCTCTTCTCTGGGCATGTATGTATGTACTACGAGGCTTGCTCCGGACTGGCGGAGTAGTCCGGTTTGATATCGGCTACCATGCTTTATGGGTTGCTGCAGCGCATCGTAATCTGACAAATGGCGTAGATCTGGGCAAGCTCCGATCAGGTAGGTAATGCCCGGCGAGTATGCGCATGAATAGTGATAGAAAAAGTGGCCGCAGACGAGGTGACGCCATATATTGGCACCGGCGTGACGCGAGGCTACGTGTGCGGTCTGCTGTTGAATGGAAAAAAAAAAAAAAAAAAAAGGAAAGGGTTTTGAAAGAGATGGGGT